TCGTGGAAATATTTTTTAATTTTTCATGTTAACGATGGCTCATCAAAATAAGACTTTTCCTAAGTCCAAATACTAAGTAAATGTACTTAAATTTTTATATTTAATAACAACAATTATTTAAAAAAATTTAAATTATGCAATAATAATAGTATTAATCTCAGAAAGATAGTTGTAAGAGAACTCTAAAAATTACAGATCATGTTTAATGATAAATGAATGCTATTTGATTCATTAATATGTTATATGTAATAGTTATTTTACCTACATAAGATTTTGTTTTTTAATGTTTTATTTATTTATTTATTTAATTTCTTCATAAACATTACAAGTAAAGGAAATAACGATATACATTTGGAATTAGTACATAGATTTTTTTAGAAACTTAATTAGTCATAGAGTAACTAACTTAATAATAACATAATTATTTAAATAAAAAAGAATCAGATAAATTAACTAGAAAATAAGTTATAAATATAGGCCTAAAATATTATAAATTAAAAGTTGTAAGGCATGTAGACCATTATGATGTTGAAGTATTAATTATATGTTTATCTATTTATATTAACAATTAACCACAGAAAATATAATTTTCAGTGGTGGAAACTTTTGCTCTAAACGGTGAATTGGAAAGTAGCATTGAAAAAAATATATTAAAAAATATATATAATATAATATATAAAAAAATATTTTGAATTGATAAATGATACAATTATCAATGCATGTGTTAAAGTTTGAAAAATAATTGGAATTCTGTTCTAAATAAATTAAAATCTAAAATATTTATTGATTTTCTTTTTAGTATTATCCACAAATCTAGCAAATAAAACTTATATCAGTTAATATTATTAGTGTCTCCGAGACACTGTTTTGTTATAACAAGCAATTAAGTATATTTATTCAGTTTTTAACAACAAAGGCATGTATTATGTAGAAAAATATTGTTTTTGAGGTCAAATTTCTTTATTGTAAAAATGTACACATTATAAATATTCTACAATATGTAAAAAAAAAAATAATGATTTTCATCCTTATTAACTAGGTAAAATGCAGTCAATATTAAGTACTTGAAGCCAGAAAATTGGAAATCCTGTCCTTTTTATGTGTAAAGTTTGTATATCATATAATTATATGAATTTATAACTACAAACATTTTGCAGATTTTCGTTATTTTGCTTATGTAATGACAACATTTAAAGACTCAAATGATAATAAAAATAAGTTGTAAGTTGTAATCACGAATTTGTAAAATATTTTGACATAAAAAAATCTATGAAAAATCTTTTATTGACTTTATACGAAAAAAGTTAAGAAACACAAACATTTCAAATACCTATAAATATCAAAAAAAAAAAAAAAAAATTTATAAAAAATTGTAATTTAATATATATATTTGATGTTTTAATAACCCCTTAAAAATAAAAAACTTGTGGAGTTAAAAATAATTTCTAATGAATAAAATCTATGAATTTAATGTAACGTAAATATTTAATTTAAGCTTCAAGCAAATTTAATCATAATTTTATTTTTATAAACATAATATACTAAAAACAAACCGAGAAAATATAATATAGGTATTAAATGACGAATTCATTATAATTTTTTATTAAACATACAAAGTTCTTCGTAGATTAATATTCAATATACAAATTGTGTTCATTCCAACCCAATTTAAAATCAATATCCAACCGAATGATATACTACTCAACTTATAGAACAATTGTATAATTTAAAAATATGTTTAACAAACAAAAAAAACAAAAAAACACATTATTGTAAAATTAGTGTAATTACCACTCAGGACCTGAAGACCAAACGGGTTTGATATTTTAGGTGCCCTAGACATAACTCCTATTTAAACAGACTAACAAGCATATTTATACAAAGTATACTAGAGAAAAAAAACTGGCAATTATATTCGACTAAATAGTAGTGTAAATTTTACACACATAGCCTATGCAGAAGTCCACAGAATAATTTATCAGTTCACGCATGAATTCTTGACTCGTACACAGTTTGCGTTCAAACTTTTTAAATTCGCATAAGAAATTGGTCAGGATTTTAATATAACCAACACGTACTACGGGTTAAATATAATGGATTCCGATTAACCAACTCTACTAACGAAATTGGTATGAGATTAAAACCTTACAAATCTAAAACAAATAACAAACCCTTGAATAGTTACACTGCAGTGTATAATACATGATTTACTTAATTTACTTATACTTTACTAAGGTAAACGATTACTTACGAGAACGTCTCACATTTATTTGTTCTCTGTAATAATTATTTTTATGCAGTGTTGCGGGCATACATAAGTGTATTAAAGAAAGCATGTAGTCTTAATCACAATAAATACATATAACAAACACCATCATCATCAGTTTAACACAGTAACAAATCAAAACTATTTAATATTATTTTGTTTTGCTATTTTACTATTTTTTATATATTTATTGTTATCAGATTTTAAAAAAAGCATCAACTAAGAAATCGTATTGGTTTTTCCTCATTATTTTGTTTTTCATATCTTAATTCAAAATGAAACATACATTTTATATAGTTATATTATATAGCTATTTATTTTGATATACAATTATGTAAACTGGTCCCTAGTGTTAATTCTTTAATGTATTATTTTGTATCAATTTAAAGCAATAATAAATCAATAAACGAGTCTAAAAAAAAAATGGTTTTTCAAATGATAATCCGAATGGAATACACTTAAATATTCCTATAATCATAAATATATATAAAAAAAAAATTATATAACTTGATAATGGAATTTATTAGATATCTAATTATTGAGATTTTCCGTTCAATTAAAAGTTAAATAAATGCATTGTGAAGTGTGAAATTCATGATTAAATATCAAATGAATTTGAAATATAATAAATAGATTATGTATTAGTTTTTTTGGAAAGTATAAAAAAGTAACGACATTATGGATTATTTTTGTATTTATTTTTTATAAACTCTAATTTTCCGAATCTAATCCCTACTTTTATACTTTCAAAGTCTTAAATGAATTGAAGGTACTAAAATTTAATTTAATTTTTTATTAATTACATTTATTTAGTTAATTTAATTACAATCAACTACCAACTAGAAAATTTCAATAAATCGTTATGCTTAAAATAATTTTTTTCCAGTGGAATGATTTTTTTTATTTTATTTGTATTTAAATGTTTAACATAGTAAAATATGATTCATATATTTTTTTTTCAATTTTTTTTTTTTTATTTTTATTTTTCTTCAAAGTTCTCACATTGCAAGTTTATAATAATTTTTATTTTATTTTATTATAATAATAGTACGGAACCAACAGCCCAAGACAAGAAAATGAGTAAACAAATAACACAATAATAATATAATTATAATAATATACATTTATACAAAATAATAGCAATAAATGAATCTATGAGTTGTAAGAAAACAGAAAGAAGTTAATGATTTAAAGGTAGTTAAAATTAATAGTTTTATTAGTAATACACATAAGACGATAAATAGAAGATTTTAATAAATAGTTTATTGAGGAAAAAAGAATATGAAAGAGAAAAGTCCTTCTACTATGACGAGGAGGGACTTTGAAGTTTATTAGAGAAAGCAACGTAGGACAATCAATTGAATTACTTAATAGTTTAGAAAGAAATGTAATGTTAGAATTATTCCTCTAATCAGTGAGGCTACTAAGATTTAAAAATATAAAGATCTAGAAGTAATCTTAAGGAGGAAAACGTATCTTAAAAAAATAAGAAGCAAAATTTAGAAAATTGCCCTGAACTCTTTCAATCACAGCGGAATCAGTGGATGATTGAAGGTAATTTTTTAAAATATAGCTAAAAAAAAGTTATAACTAACAATTTGACCAAAAATATTATTTATCTATTAACTAAGACAAAAACTTAATAATAGCTAAACTATAGGTACCTATATAAATAAATTCAATTTTATGATAAACATACTTAGTATCTAGCAGAATTTTTTTAAAAACTGATTTTAATTAGAACTTTTAGAAAATTGTGAAAAGTGTGAAAAGTGTGAACTTAGAGTACGGTATTATATTTATATTAAAACACTATTAAATATTTGTTTCAGAACTTAATTATAAATACTACACCGACTTTAAGTTTTGCCGTTAGGTAAACAATTATAAATTAAAATTAACATTATATCTTATGTACTGTATTATTACTAATATATAAGATCTATCAAGTATATATTTTATATACTAATAGGGCGTAAAAACAAAATGTATTGGACTTTTGCACGAACCTCCGAGTTAAAGTAATGGTTTAGCAATGAGTATAAAAATTGACATTATTTCGATTATGTAAGAAATTTTAACAAACCATAGTGGCAGTCTATTACATTGCGATACAGCGTCGTTTTACCCAATAGTATATTTAACTATATATTTGTATAATCGAGAGTATTCAATAAGTATAACACATAAATCAAACAATGTAATCCACACTTACTGCACTACATCTTGTATACACTCATGAATATACACAGAGAAATGGGAAATCATCACTACCCTCTCAATATATTAACTATACATCAACAACCTAGTTCAAAATTCTAAGACTCAATACTATACAAATAAGAATTATAAACCAATTTAAACATTATAAAAAAAAAAAAATATAGCACACGATAAATTAAGATACTTAATCGCCAAAAGGCAACTGTGAATTTGGTTTTTCACTCTAAAAAATACAATAAACACAGTATAAAAATTGCGTGTGTTTCTATTTAATATGATATTGACTTTATAAATATATTTTCTTGTGTTTGACAGGTTACCTGTCTTAAGCAAACTATTTTTATCAAGATTTGAGGATTGTATTTGTTATTTATACGCTTAAGAACCGAAGTTTCTTAAAATTATTGTTTACTGATCGCAAGTAAACAATTAATTTTTTAATTGAGACTGAAATACCAAGTACTCAAGTTCACGATGATTAATGTTTAGAAAATGAATAGGCTTTACGCACCTAAGTTATCAGCGACGGCAGTCCGTTGAAACATCAGCAACAGCAACAACAGCATCGTCGTATTGATACCGCGGTACATTACGGCTGCTGCCATTTTTATCACCCAACCACGGTCATAAACATCACAACAAAATACTACTGCGGTCGGTCAACGCGCGAAACATGTTTAAAGAACGGTTAGAACACGAGAAAATATATATATATATATATACTGAAAGCCAATCAATCAACGCGAATGCGTAATTGTATATCGAAAGTCGAGAGATATCACGATGATAATCTTATTGCAATAAGAATAGAACGGCGGACGTGGGGATTCCGGTGGAGACGGAATACATTTTAACGGGAAATAAATACGCACGTGACGAGCGAACGACGACGACGACAACGTTGACACGGATGCAGCGCGTGAACGAACGAACGACGCGAAAGCTGCGGGGATACTGACGTCGGTGCACACGCGGGTAGCAGCCGCCGCTGCTGCTCCATCAGGAACTGTACCGGAAACATCACGCAACGCCCCTCGCCCTGATTCCCGTCCGGTCCACACCTCTGGCCGTCATGCCCACCGACCGTCATGACCACAACCACAACAGTCCCTGATTAAACCTGCTAGTGACCACCCTCTCCTATCTACAAGTGAACCCACACCCACACACGTACGCGCATAAAACGGTTTGCGTATAATTATTATTGTTATATTGGTGGACTTCCAACATTTATTTTGACACAGAGTCTCATTATGACCGTTGTATCTTGACGTTATACTAAAACATTATAATGACGATACAGGTATACGATGCACCCGAATACGGACCAATAGCAGTCTTATTCAGACACTCGATGACGAAATAATTATAATATTTCTATTCATTTTTTATTTTTTATTTACTTATAAATTTTAAAGTCTGCAACCCATCCAAAAAATACCGGGTTCGGAGCGAAACCGTTTAAAAGTATTGAAACCAAAATCTTAACAACAACCCGTAAAAACGTTAATAAAATTATGTATTACTGTATACACAGTATGCATTGTTAGGATTATTTAACATAAAAATAAAATTATTTTATTTTGATAAATTATATTGTATATAATTTAATATTGCAATATACAGTAAAATTTCAACAACAGTAGTATTCTGATGAATTTCTAAATTTTATATTTTTCTTAAAGTAGGTATATTATATATATTATATTGTATTATCACTTTTACAACCCACCCTCACCCTTATTATTATAAAAAAGACCAATTTATTGGGAAAAAACAAGTTTTAATTGAATCCGGAACTAAAACAGATATTTATTATTTATAAAAACCAAAACCGATATCGAATCTGTAGTTTATTTTTTTTCCTGACCGGAACCAATAAAATTGTAAAGTCTCCAAATAAAATTCCGATAAAATTCCAGTCTCTGATCTGTATACACAAAATAATACAATAAGTAAATAAGTTAACATAAAGTAGATATGGCAACTTGAAGAAAGTGAGCGTCCGTTGACACTACATCCAATTATAATAACATTATAAACTATAATAAATTAATAATTATTGAGCAGACTTACGGAATACGTGTTTTTAGTTATTGTATCATGACCATCAATAATAATTAATTATATTGTTTGACCAAATCATAATGATGATATATGGTTTACACAAAGTGTAGTTAATCAGGATAACGGAAGTATTTATATACTGATGGCAAGAACTTATTCATATAAGACAAACTATAATGTTTATGGGAGATGCCATTCTTAAAATTTAAACTAAGAAGAATATTGTAGTATTACTAAAACGTCAATATCTTTAAAGTTATTATTTTAAAACATTTATATTAGAAGTATATGTATGAAATTTTTAAAGTCAGAAACTGGAACTTTTACGTATTTTTTTCGATTCTAGTAAAAAAAAAAAAAAAATCTTTTTAAAAAATTCAATTTTTTTAATGGAAAAGGATTTTTTTACTTCTTAAATAAGCATAGATTACATTAATTATAAACATTATACATTTTATAGTCTAATTTCTAAATATTATTAACCTATGGGTGGTAATTGAAATATGGTAATCTATTATGATAGATATAAAGCCATTACAATAGAATCTACGAATCTACATAATTAAGAGTGCAATTTATTTACAATCTATCTAAGCATACCATAGGCGTGCGTAGACTTTATTCGCAGGTTATGCAATAAGAAATATAGGGGCCCTCACAAATAAATTTTCTAATCTTCCCTTAATTTATTTGCATTTTTTTTTAACGCATATAAGATTCAAGTCACAATCTAAGTTTTTGCATATATACTACGTAGCTTCTTTACTTCCCTTAGAATCTAAAATCACACATAATTTTACAGTAGAATATTAAACAATGCACTGTAGAAATAAGTAGTTTGAAATTTGATTTATATTTATTAAAAAAAAAATTTATTATTTATTTAAGATCAAGTATGTACTATATTGAATGCTTTTGAATAATTTTAACATGTTTATAATGTTTTTATTTTATGGAGAGTACTTAAAATCTAAAGTTCAAGTCTTCTTTTTATCGGCACACATGTTTTGAATTCATCTATTACATCTTCAATATTGATTTCTGATGCCATCTTTTGCTCGATAAATATTAACATCAGTGAATCAAGATGTTCTTGTAACATAGTGTTTTTAAGTTTAGACTTTACAATAGATAATTTAGAAAAATCCCTCTCACACGAGCAGCTCGTCACAGGTATTGTTGCAAATTGTGTTAAAGCTTTAATGAAGTTTGAAAATATTGTTTTCCGGTCGTTTTCTGATAACCAGTTCAGTCATACTACAATTGTTTTAGTTGATAACCCTCTAATAGAAGTTCTATCAGACATATTTGTAATGAGCTTAATTTCAGACTCAAATGTAGTATTCAAATTAAATTTTTCCTTCAACATTGAAATATCATTACTATCAAGCTTTAATTGATTTAAATTTCCTGTGGCAGTAATTAAATTTAAAGTTTCTTAACTTAATAATAAATATGGGCCCCTCGCATGAAGCCGCAGACTATGCAGCGGCATACCCTGCATACCCCGTGCGCACGCCTATGAAGCATACATAGATTAGGGAGAGCAAAGGCAGATTGTAAAAATGTACATACATTTTAATAAAAAAATAATTTATAAATAATATTTTGTATATTGTTAAAAAAATAAATTAATTCTTGATTGATATTATATTTAAGTTAATGACTTTTTTTTCTACACCTAATACTATTCAGTACTAATATAACACTCAAAAGAAGTTTTGTCATTATATATTTTAAATTTATCATATGTATGTGTATATACACATATATTATATGGAAACCCTCTTCATATCTTACGAATCAAACAATTTAATTTGTACAATTATTATTTTTTTTGTTCACAAAGTATATTTTATTAATTTAATCGAATATTCATATTGTATTTTTTCAAATACTCAAATTCCAATTATAAAATATTTACTACGAAAACTCATTTAATTTAATTATTTATAAGTACCTATTTAATGTTACATTTTTTTAACGTGTTTTAATTTGATAATTTAAAAAAAATGCACATCAATAGTTTATTATTAAAAAATCAACTATAGTAAATAAAACAAAGACACACAACTGAAAATAAATAAAAATCGGGTTTTTAAAATGTGAATTGTCTAATGAAAGTGATGTCAATTATTAATGGTAATTATTACAACTTACTTAAACATTATTAACAATTTAACTAATTTTAACTCCAATTACTTTGTTTATCTACAGGTCAAAAATTACAATTTGCAACGAAACATTATAATTCACAACTTTATAAGTTCTAGTATGTTATCTCAATCTAATAGTATACTTATTCTACGGAAATATATCGGTTTAAACAGCAATAATTCTTAGTATTTCCAAATTATACTGGTTTTTTCATCATTTAACAACCCTATGCCTAAACCTGTATGATCTTTAACATCATATTATATTATTCTAGAAATAAGTACTTGAAATAGAAATTCAACAATAATTGTTTGTAGGCATATATATACAGGGCTATATTTATGCAAGGACAAATGGGACATTTGCACTGGGCCCACTCGAAAGAGGGGCCCACCGATTTCAGCCTTATAAAATTAATTATATACCATTTTTATCATATTTTGGGAAAACACAATTTTACTTGGATATTTTTGTGGGTATAAAGTATAATAAGGATTTCATGAAAACTACGGCTTTAATCAATATTGACGATAACAAAATCTAATAGCCGTTATTATCGTCGTGTTATCATGTAATAATATATTAATAATAATCGTAATATAATTCTATTGACGTTGTCTTGCATAGTTGTGTGGTGCATTCAGTCCCGCGTTTTACGTCTATCGTATTTATTGTATATTTATAATTTAAAATGTCAAAAAAATATTTAAGTAGTTCAATGAAAAGAAAATTAAAAGATAAAAGAGATCAAGAAACAAAAAAAATTACACGGTAGTTTGGATAAATTTACATTTAGTACTAATTTATCGACTAGTGCACCATTACCAGGTAATAAATTTTTAATAACAATATGAAGTCATACTCTTATATTAAGTATTATTTTAGAAACAGACGTTACTGAAAAGTATACCAACGAAAATGAAATTACTAAAATTGAAAAATCTGTTGAAGTCTGTGGTACTACTAGTGCTAATAATTCCGATGAAAAATGTGCCATTGATAATACTAATGTGACTGTTACAACTGAGGTATGTTTGATCGATAATATTGATAATAATGATATATTAAACCCAGATTTACCACCAAACAATTTTGCACGATTCTCCGGTGATATTTCAACATGGCCACCGAAAATTTCGGAAAGCTTTCGGGAATACTTCACTTTAAATACTCCAAAATAAAATATAGATTGTATTCATAATTCAAAAAAAACTATTCGAGGAGTTCTACGAAAATTAACTAAAGAATATTTTTATTTAACTAAAAAAAGTGGTCATGAAATACATAGAAGTTGGTTGATATATTCACCGTCGGCTGTTAGTTTATTTTGTTATATTTGTAAGCTATATTCACCGAATAACACGCTGTTATGTAAGGAGGATTTTAGTGATTGGCAACATACTAAAGAACGACTTAGAAAACATGAAAATTCATTTATCCATAGAAAAGCCATTTGTGATTTTTCAAACCGCTCTATAGATATTAAACGTATTGATTGTCAACTAGTTTTACAATACAAAAAAGATGTTCAGTACTGAAGGGACGTTTTAAAACGAACAGTAGCAGCTGTTCAATTTTTAGCTCAACGAGGATTAGCATTTTTTGGAGAAAATTAAATTATATGAAATGGGCATAATGGAAATTTTTTGGGTATTATGGAGTTAATAGCAAAGTTTGATCCATTTTTAAAAGAACACATCAATAATTATGGGAACGTTGGTAGTGGTAAAACAAATTACATTTC